GTGTGTGTGTGTGTGTGCGTGTCTGCGTGTGTGTGTGTGTGTGTGTGTGTGTGTGTTCTATAGCATGTGATGCCAGAAGAAGGCATCAGATCCCCTAGAGCTGGAGCTACAGGTGGCCACAGGAGGTGGATTTCGGGACAGAACTCAGGGCCTCTGGAAGAGCAGCAGGAGCTCTTACCTCCCGGGGCACCCCTCCAGCCCTGTGCTGTTTGTTTGTTTGGTTTGGTTTTTTGAGACAGGGTTTCTCTGTGTAGCCCTGGCTGTCCTGGAACTCACTTTGTGGACTAGGCTGGCCTCTAACTCAGAGATCCGCCTGCCTCTGCCTCCCTGAGTGCTGGGATCCACGAGTGCTGGCCGCCGCCACCACCACCACCACCACCTGGCTCCAGCCCCTGTTCTAAAAATAACAAAATAAAATGAAAAATAAAACACCTTTCATGTATTCATGGGGCTTTGTGGGATGTGTGACTGGAAAAGGCGCTAGCGGCCTTCTGGGAATGTGACATTGTCTAGGGGAGGGTTACACCAAAAGTCTCAACTCCTTCCGGTCTTCCGGGCAGACTGAGAAACAGAGAAAGCAGCAAATTCTGTTCTTCTTGGGTATCTTTGGAATGCACATGCGCACACACACATGCACACTTACACACAAACACACCACACACTCTCTTTTTGTCTCTCTCACACACACAGACTCTGTCAAACGCATACACACACGTGCATATGCACATGGACGCACACACACTCACCACACTGTCTCTCTGTCTCTGTGCGTATCTCTCTTCTCTCTCACACAAACACACACATACCTCTCCAAGACTGAAGTCAAACCTCAAGCCCCAAACCAGCAAATCTCACTACACATCTAGACCACTAGGTTTAACTCACACTAAACAAGTCTCACGTGATTCTAATGCCAGATCCCGTGGTTACAGGGGCCAGCTCTGAAGAAACCCCCGCCGGACGCCTCAGGTGCAGCCTCCCCGTGGCCTGAGAAACAGGAGGCTGCTTTATTCTAATGAGGACGAACACAGCACATTGTAGCACATGCAGGTTCAATAAGGTACATTTTTTCAGCCCCAGTTCAGACTAATGGGGCCAGGCGGGCCAGCAGGAAGTGCCCCCGTGTAAGTGGGGACCCGGGCTGGACAGCTTAGAGTTTGTTTGGCTCGTGACTGGTTGTGAGGGTACAAACAGCATGGTGTCGGTGTTCTGGCGAGGGGGCCATGGGCTGCCTCACAAGCAGACAGGGGACAAGCGTGTCAGTAGCCTCGCTGCCCACGAGCCTCCTGCCCCTTCCAACACCCTGCCTGACACTGGGGGCCAAGCTTGCAGCACAGGGACCATGGAGGACGAAGCACCACCTCATCACCTCACATCATGGCCTCCTCCTCTCTAGAGCAGCGTGCACTGGGGTCTGTTGTGATTCCATTTAGGGTCTGTCCACTCCACGGCCATTAAAGGGGTTCATTAGCAATCCCCTTCACCTCCAGATTATTATTGCTCTCCGATGCCACGCCCCACACAAGAGTTCACTCTGTCGCCCTGGCTGTTCTGGAACTCTCTGTGTACACCTGGCTCTATGTACAGTATGGCTCTAGAGCCATAGACATCCTCCTGCCTCTGCCTTCAAAATTACCCGACCCATGCTGATTTCCCTTTTCTTCCGCCGGGTGCCAGGGTTAGAGACCCGCCCATCACACCATCATTGCTATTTTTTTTTCGGGATTTTATACATGCGCATAGTGTTTTGATGAAATCCGCTAATTCCTTCCCTCTAATTCTTCCCTTAGCCACCCCCACAGCAGGTGCTCTTAACCAATGAGCCATCTCTCCAGCCCTCAGCCATGTTTAAGACATATTAACCGGGCTGGCAAGACTGCTCAGCAGGCAAAGGCGATTGCCTTGTGAGCCCAGGGAGCTGAGCTCTCCTTGATCCAGGTGGAAGGAGGGAAATGACTGTCCTCTGACCTTTGTACATGCACCGTGATACAAGTGCCCACATGTACACATAGCACACACAGGCACACAACAATTGACAAGATCTTAATCAGGATATCATATGTAATGAGCTGTACATGTTTAGAATATACAACCTGACCTTTTTCACTCTTTGGAGAGGGTCTCCCTATGTAGCCCAGGATGGTCTTGAACTCACAATTCTCCTGGGATTGCAGATGGCCAACTGAACTGGATTTGTTTGTCTGAGACAGGATTTCTGTACATAGTTCTGATTGTCCTGGAACTTATTCTATGTAGACTGGGCTGGCCTAAAACTCAACTCAATTAATGTAATCAAGACAACCCCCCAAAAACATACCACAGCCCAACTCACACCTAGAAAAATCCTCCGGAGGAGGCCGTGAAGTGTTACACTGTAGCTCAGATCCACAAATTAAGGAAACCACATACAAAGGTCTGGGCACCATTTGTGTGCAGTGAGCATGAAGGCCAGAGGGGCCATTGGGTCCCCTGGAGCTACAGATGGGTGTGAGCAGCCGTGTGGGTGTGAGCAGCCCCGTGGGTGCTGGGAGCTGAACTGGGTCCTCTGGAAGAGCATCTCCGTGCTCTTAACCACTGAGCCGCCTCTGCAGCCCTAAGAAAGGCTGCTAGTCCACCGTGCCCACAAATGGCCAGTCTTCCGAAAAACAGCTCACCCTGCAAGGGCACCGCTTAGGGAGGCAGAGAGAGAGGGCACCGTTGAGGCCTGACGGCTGGCCATGGCCTGACGGAGGCCAGCAACTCCTGTTAACTGACTGAGAGAAGGCGGCTTCCTCGGTCGCAGAAGCCCGCTCTCTTGCCCTCCGCCTGTCTTACGTGCGTGTCAATAAGTTCTATTTTCTCATGCACTCACACGATCAGCTTCCAGGTAGAGGGAGGTTTTCTACGATCTGTTTCTAAACCCCTCCCCTTTCCTTTTTCTTCTACCCTCACAGCCAGAGCTGCCTTACCTTTTAGTCGCTCTACGTTAGATGTTGAAGTCTGTGATTTTACATAACTAGAGTCCTTTCTGTGCTGTGTGTTATTTTGAGTAGAGCCTTGCTGTGTTGTTTGGGCTGGTCTTGAACTCCAGGGACCAAGATCCTCCTGCTTCAGCCTTCCGAGTTCCTGGAACTACAAGCCTGAGCCACCAACATGCTCAGGCACAGCCCGGCTGCCGATGTTTGTGTATGTATCCCGAGTCTGTCCCTGACCTGGCGCTGACTGACCGTAGGGGGCATCTGTCTCTGCCTCCCTGGCTGCTGGGCTCAGCTGGTTGCATCGGTGCCGGGTGTCCAGACTTGAGTGCTGCTTCTACCAGTGGGCCATCTCCTCAGTCTCGTCCTTAAAACGTATTTTAAAATTTAACTTATCATTACTAGCTTCTGGGTGTGGCCGGTGCTCTCCCCGCTCAGGCACGGCAGCGTGCACAAACGCGGGGAGGCCTGCACAAAATGAAATTACAAAAACTTTTAAGTCAAACAAACCGCACATGCTCATGTCTCCGTCCTCAGGTAAAACTCTTCGGCGGCCGGTGAGGTCCCTTAGGGCACACTGCGCTGTCTTCGCACAGGCCCGGGTTCTGCACGGCCCGCCCTCTGGTTCCTCTTCACCGGTCCCCATGCCCCGTCCCTGCGCGCGGAGACCAGGCAGGAGAGAGCAGGCGCCTCACCCAGGTGCTTCCCTCGCGCTCCATCACCGCCCTAGGATTTCAGGGGCTTTTCTAGGCTGCAAGTGTCAAGGGGTGGAGGGCCCTGCCTATCTCTTCCGTGATGTTTCTCTAGGGCCCACCGTCGGCGACCCAGTGCGCCGTCTGTTGGCCGAGGAGCACGGATGCGCCTATGCAGGTGCTCCTTCGCGTCCCCTGGTGGACAAGGCGGCGAGCTGCAGCCCCCGGGCCCCTTCCCGCCTCCGGGCTCCCCTAGCGGGAGGGGCCGAGCGACCGGGGCTGCCCTCCCCGGCCGGCCTCAGCCACGCGAGGGCCCCGACACCAAAGTAACCTTTCCCTCGGACGCCCGTGGGCCCGGGAGGGCCACCCCAGCCGATCTGAATTATCCGTTGTTGCTGTTATTTTTATTTTACTGTTTCCGTGGGTGTTTTGCTTTCAGATACGTAAGGAAACGTAAATGTCACAGGCTCTATGATACTGACTTTTCTGTTTGTTTTGATTTTGGTTTGCTGGGACAGGGTCTCTCCGGGTAGCCCTGGCTGTCCTGGAACTCACAGAGATCCTCCTGCCTCTGCCTCCCGAGTGCCGGGATTACAGGCGTGCTCCGCCTCACCGGGTTTATGATACTGATTTAATCCGAATCGAATTAATAATATGCTTAAGGGGGATTTTTCAAAACACCTAAGAGTGGCAAACAGCCGTTAGTTGGTGCAGTCTGGGGAGGGGAGCCGCGGCGCGCTGACAGGAAAACACAAAGGAGATACTGGCCCGGACCCCGGGCGTCAGGACACAAAACTCCCGACTGTAACCTGGGTCTTCAGATCAGTTTTTCTTCCCGAGTGTTTATTCTCACGTCTGTGTCTGCGTGAACACAGGGCTCGCGCGCGCACGTCCCCGCCGTCCAGAAGGTGTGTGGTGGGGCGGGGGGAGCCGATGGGGCCTACGCGGGAGCAGTCGGCGCGAACCGCCTCTGCGGCCCCCAGGGCGCCCCAACTGCAGCGGCCGCTGGAGACGAAGCGACGGGATGGAAGGCCCCGTAGCCTCCCGCCTGAGAAGGGCCCATCCCCCGTCTACAGTAGCCGGCCGGTTCCCGCATCTCTGCAGGGAGCCGGGAGCGGGGCACGGTCTATCTCAGGGCAGGGAGCCAGGCGCTGGACTGTCAGCTGAAGCCGAGGTCCGAGGTTCGGGCCGCGCGGAGTCAGGGCAGCCGGAGTCGGAGCGCTCGGCTCTCCTCGGAGCGCGCGCTCGGCTCTCCTCGGAGCGGGGCGGGGCGGGACGCGCAGGGGGCGGGGCCACGCTCACTCCCTGCTGCGACTGGCGGGCCTGTGGGGGGCGGGGCTTCCGGCGGCAGTACACTCGGCGTCAACGACGCAGAGCGGACGGTCGTCACGTGACACGGAAGTGACTCCGAACAGGAAGAGGACGAAAAAAATAACCGTCCGCGACGCCGAGTGGAAGCGGACCCGCAGCCACCATGAACAGCAAAGGCAAGGCCGGGGAGCGGCGGCGACCGTCGGGGAGGCGGGCTGCTTCGGGGCGAGCGGGTCCGGGGGCGACGGGCTCGGGGCGGGCGGGGCGGCTCTCCTGAGCGCGCCGGGGAGCGCAGCGGAATCTGACGTGGCCGCCCGCTTCCTCCCCCCACCGCAGCCGCTCGGCCCTCCCGGGCCCCAGAAGCTCTGTGGCGCAGTTTGGAGCCGCGATCTCCGGTGTGTGTGTGAGTGTGTGAGTGTGTGAAGTGGGGGGGCTTGTCGGTGACGGCCACCCGCTGGAGCGAATGGGGCGCTAGAGCAGGGATTTGGGTAGGCCAATGGGGGGCCGGCAGAGGCGGGGCCCCGCGCTTCGGAACAACAGGCCTCGGCGGAGCTTAACCAGTGAGGTGCCGGCTCTGCCGCCGGGTCCGGGCCTGCGGGGGTTCCGTTTGCGCCTCCCCTGGCCTTTTCGCGCTTCCTCCTCAGGGCCCGGATTCCTAACCGTCCCTCTGCTTGCGCTAATGCTTGTCCGAACACGATCTCTTTTACACCCCACCCGCCGTCCTTCTTATGGTTAACTTGCATTCACTCACTCCTTTTTGGAAGTCGACCTTGACTAGGAGCCCGTGAGGTAAATACTCAGTGGCGTGGGTTCCACGGAGTCTGGACTGCTTACAGCCCAGCCCGCAGGGCATAACGCAGAAGTGTCCCCTAAGACCCCAGCGGACCAGAACCTCAGGAGCGGGTCCCCAGGCCTGCCCTCTGTTGGGGAGGGAACATGGCCAAGTTACACTTGACTCCCCATCAGGATGCTAGTGGGAACAGCGGCTTCTGCCCTGCCAGAATGCAGCACCTTCCGTTGGGAGGATGCAGAGGCATCTTGGCTCCAGAACATTGGGCCCTGTATGGCAATCTCGCTGCAAGTCCCCTGCTTGCTCCCGCCGAGTTGGCCACCCTGTGCACCCTGCCCCATCTTTTGGTTCTGTTTACAGATTTGCTGTCAATAGTTCCTGTGTGTGTGTGTGTGTCTGTGTATGTGAACGTGAGTGCAAGTGCCCACAAAGGGGAAGCTACACTGAAAGGAGGTTGTGTCAGACATGGGTCCTAGGGACAGAACTTGGGTCCTCGGGAAGAGCAGCTCCTCGCCTGTGACCCCGAAGCCATCCCTCCTGTGTGGCACCCCCTAATTTAATAGGCAGCACCCCTTCTCCCGCTTTTGTCTTCCAGGGCAGTATCCAACACAGCCTACCTACCCAGTGCAACCTCCTGGGAATCCAGTGTACCCGCAGCCCTTACACCTTCCCCAGGCTCCGCCCTACACTGATGCTCCCCCGGCATACTCAGAGGTACTGCCCCGCAGACCTATAGTTGAGGACACGTTTGGACCCCATGTTCAGTCTCCAAATCTGACTGCACCATCAGGACTTAGGCTCTAAAGCATGAGTGGATGGTGACCACTGGAGTTGAGAGCATTGTCTGAGGGTGTTGACAGCTGCTGAGGTGGGCGGAGTTTGGGCCCCTTGAGCCCACCTAGTAGTTGCTGTGGAAGCAGATGACCCAGAATGTTGTGTGTCAGTGACTGTAATGAAGTGTGTAATCTGCACACATGAAGAACTAAGAGTGGACTCATGAGCCAGTGCTAGTCCTAGCACTTGGGAGGCTGAGGCAGGAGGATCCTGAGTTCAAGGTTGTCTTGGGCTATAGAACCAAACCCTGTCTCCAAAACCAGACAAGGGGCTGGTGAACAAAGCTGATTTGGTAGACGATTTCTTGGCATGTACGGAGTCCTAGATTTGACCCTCAGCACCATGGGAACTGGGTTTGGTGCCACAGGCTTATAATTTCACCAGTCAAGAGAGAAGGCATGAAGATCAGGAGTTCAAGTTCATCGCTTTATGTAGTTGAGCTACAGGAGATGGCTTCCATAAGACTCACAGAGGTTTCAAAGTGGGTGTCACAAAATAACGCTTTGTCTTCTCTGCTTCTTTTAGCTCTATCGTCCAAGCTTTGTTCACCCCGGGGCTGCCACAGTTCCCACCATGTCAGCTGCATTTCCTGGCGCGTCTCTGTACCTGCCTGTGGCCCAGTCTGTGGCTGTAGGGCCTTTGGGCTCCACAATCCCCATGGCTTATTACCCAGTTGGTCCCATCTACCCTCCGGGCTCTGCAGTGCTGGTGGAAGGAGGCTACGATGCAGGGGCCAGGTTTGGAGCTGGTGCGAGCGCTGGCAGCATCCCTGTGAGTACGCCTAACCGCAGCTCAGCCCTGTGTACTCAGACGTCCTGAAAGGACACTACTGTCCCGTCCCAGGACAGTAGTGGTCAGTGTCAGCCCAGCTGTTGGTCTCCTGCAAGCAGATGTGGCTGAAACTGCTAGCCAGCCGCCAGGCGGTGGTGCACACCTTTAATCCTAGCACTCTGGTAGAGGCAGGCAGATCTCTGAGTTTGAGGTCAGCTAGAGCTACACAGAGAAACCCTGTCTTGAAAACCCTCCAAAAAGAAAAGTACAAAACCCTGCTAACTGCTAGCTCCTTTTCAGGGGCAGTCTAGGGGTGTTCCTTGTTGAGCCCATAAGCACCTAAGATTGGCCATGTCGGTGAGATGTGCTAGGAGCCCCGGTGATGTGCAGAATGCATTGTCCCCAGCAAGTGGCTTTCAGTGGTCAGCTGCGCCTGCTTAGGCCTCCAGTGTGTGGCTTTGTGGCCCACATGGTTCCAGAGGGAGCTGGGAATGGCTTCATTGACTTGAACGCTGCAGTCGCTGGGGGCGTGGCCCGTGGCAGAACAGAAGTGCAGCTTGTACAGAGGGCTGTCCCTCTGCCTAGGAAATAAAACCCCACGTGGGGTCCTCTGGGCTAGGAGTGACTCTCCCCTGAGCAGGATGGGGCGCGGCACTCACAGGCAGTCTTCCTGGACTGTCCAGAACTGAAGCTGTTACAGAATTAGCTCCTTGGAATGCTGGCTGCTTGGTGTGGTGGCACGGGCTCCCTGTGAGTGACTATCAGCCTGGGTACATAGCAAGAACCGAGCAAGTCAAGGTTACACGGTGAGATGCTGGTCATGCCACCCTGCTCCCTGCAGAGCGGAAGTTAGAGTTGGCGCAGTGCCCCTGCCTCCTGTGTTCCTTCCCTGTGCCCACAGTGCCTGTCCTTTCCTTCCAGCCTCCACCTCCGGGATGCCCTCCCAACGCTGCTCAGCTCGCAGTCATGCAGGGGGCCAACGTCCTCGTAACTCAGCGCAAGGGGAACTTCTTCATGGGCGGCTCAGATGGTGGCTACACCATCTGGTGAGGAGCCGGGGCCACTGCTGTACCGGGAAAGACATCACATACCTTCAGCACTTCTCACAATGTAACTGCTTTAGTCATTTTAACCTGAAGCTGCAGTTTAGACACATGTTTGGGGGTGTCTTTCTGGTGTCCAAACTTTGAGGCACTTTTCAAATTTAATAAGGAACCATGTAAGGGTAGCAGCCCCTCCCTAAAGCACTCTGAGGTAGGGAGGTATCCATTCTTGAAATGAATGTGCGTGGAGCAGCCCCAGGGCTCTTCCCTAATTCCTCTGCAGTGACCATGCTGGTCTTTGCTTCTAGTAAGAAAACATCAAATTAGGTTTGGAGGGAACTTTGATCTTCCTAAGAATTAAAGTTGCCAAATTATTCCGATTGGTCTTTAATCTCCTTTAAGTCTTTGATTTATATTATTTGTTAAATGAAATGCATTAGCTGTCTGCCTTCTCCTTTCCATCCTCCCCTCCCCCAATCAGTGGTGCAGGACAGAAAGCCAGTCAGACTCAGCCCTTCTCTCCTTGCACCTGTCCTACTCGCCATTTTTTAGTGTCTTTCATAAGGATCCTCTGAAGCCCCGTGTGCCCCGAGAATGGACCCCCATTTCTTCGGGCTCTGTGTATCTCCAGGCAAGGTGAAGGGTACCTGCTGGACCCACCTTGTAAACTGTCTCTGTATCACCAGGAACCCAGCCCTGCTGTGGTGCCTCAACTTAAACAGCTCTCAGTGCACACTGTCCCAGAAAAGCTTCTGGCGGGCAGGGAAGATGCGTATCAGAAGCTTGGCTGGCAGTAAAGCCAGGTCGAGGGAGTTTCAGATCAAAACCCAGTTACTATTTCCTGAGTCTCCTGCAGCCTCTCGGTCCAGGAGTTTCCTGAGGTGGGTCAGTAGGTCGTGTGAACGCCTCACAATGGAATGACTTGAGTCCAGTGAGACCTCATTAGGATGACTATTTCAGGGATCCTTAGTGTTGTGATTTGTTTTCTGAGATTGGATTTTATTTTATCTGATACTTCAGCTCATCTAAAGCTTGTGTTCTGTACATGTGGTGTTTGACTGTGCCATTGACTTACGGAAGTTCAGCGTCGTATGTCTCTCTACACTGTGGTGCACTTAACTTGTGGATTTTTTATACTAAAAATGTAGAATAAAGACTATTTTGAAGATTTGAATAAAGTGATGAAGTTGCATTAACCTCACGCAGGCATTCTTTACTTGCATGTGCTGAGGTGGCACCCTGTGCCAGCCTTTCTCCCCACCCCAGAGGCCAGCCAGGTGCTCCTGCTGCTCTGCCTCTAACCTCTCATTCGGTTGCAAAACGAATGCAGGTATGCTAGGCTTCGCTGCCCTCGGGAGTGCACTAGAGCTGACTGGATTCAGAGCATAGACTTAGAAATGAAAGAGTGATGCTGGCCGTGGTGGCACACACGCTGGGAAGCCCAGCACTCAGGAGGCAGAGGAAGGTGGATCTGAGTTTGAGGCCAGCCTGGTCTACAGAGTGAGCCTAGGACAGCCATTGCTACACAGAGAACCCTGCCCCGAGCTTACTGCTGGCACAGTTTTTCCTGGCTCCCTCTGTATATACACAGGGATCTGGGGAGTTGTGGCCCTTGCCAGGATTAAAGTCAGACACACTTATTTCTAATGTTTGTTTCTGGTGATGCCTGTCTGATACAAACCTCCTGGGTCCTTGTTTCAAACGCCTAAATCATTCTGGGAACTTGTAGAACTTTTCCCATGAGTTCTCCCTGAGAGACAACATGTGCAGGTGAGTTAAATAAGCAAGAGAAAATGCTGCAAAAAAGCTAAAGCAAAACAAGTCTAGTCCTGGTAACTGCAGAGGTGACTTTTGTAATGTTTAATCTGGATAAGAACGGCACGTTCAAGGGGGTTGGGGCATGGCAGGGCTCAGCAAACAGAGGAGGTATAGTCGCCTTCCTGTGGCACCCAGCCTCCAGGAAGCCACGGATAGCTACACTTGAGGCTCTCACTGGGCAGCCAGGTTGGGGACGAGGGTGGGCCAGCCTGTGGCCTCCCTCACATCTGCCCCTTCCAACACAAGCATGGCCCCACTTTGTTGGCTGGCTGTGAGCACTGTCCTTACCAAGGCCCAGCTCTACTGTCCATTGTGAGCAGCTTTGTCCATGTCCCTGGACCCTGGAGTTGGTGATGCTGGTATTGGGGGCCACGTCCTGGGAGGCAAGCAGATTTGCCCATGTCACTCAGCGCCACTCATGGCTTCAGGGCGGTTGTTCTCTAACTGCAGCATCAGTGCTGGGATTAGATGAAGTACTCCTCCTTCTCCCTGCCCTTGGCTGAGTCACTCTCCATCTGGAGGACGGCGCCGGGCTCCCCTTCTGCGGGCTCGTAGGTGACGTAGCTGCCCTTGTTCTTGTACAGGTAGAAGAAGATCAAGGTCACCACTGAGAGCAGGGTGAGGAATACCACGGTGATGACAACTTGGAAAGAGGGAGACGAGTTTCAGTACCTCATGGGGCCACCCGGATTGAGCCATTACATCCTAGCCGGGTCTCCCTCAAACCTAGTTCCCCAGGAACGCTATTGCTATCCAGGGCTCTTGGGACTTGGCTACAGACACACTGACAGAATTCACCTCCCACCCCCAACCAGTTCCTGATGAGCATGCTAGACACCAGGAGGCAAAGAAATAGCTTATGCCAACAAGAAGGGTGTTTTAAGCACATGGCTTCCTACGAGGGTTCTCTGGTTGTCCCTGCTCCTCGCCCACTCAGCCAACCACATGTCCCCACCTCCCCACCCACAGGCCAGCCTGAGCATCCACAGGCACCCGTGCCTGGCTACGGTCACTCCCAGCCTCTGCATGCCAGAAAGAACCCAGTTACAGAGAGGGTCTCTGGTGTGGCTTTCCTTATTCGGGGAAAAATCTTCTCATCACACTGGGCTCCAGGCTGTCTCTGAGGCCACAGGCCCGTGGGACTGGTATACTAGGTTTGCTACCTGCAATGAGCGCTGTGCTGGCCTCTTCAGCTTGTGGGGACAGGGTCTCAGGGGCATGAAAAGCTGGCGTGGTCATCAATTCTGGGACGTTGAGGAAAGGAGAAGAGGAACAGGTGAATCCTTTGTCCGACATACATCACTTCACCTTCCCTGTTCCAAAGTTCACTACCTAGTCCTGGAGAGATGCTCAGGAGCACCAACTGCTCTGCCTCAGGCCCCAGGTTCTATTCCCAGCACCCACATGGTGGCTCCTCATCTAACTGCAGCTCCAGAGGGTCTGATGTCCTAGCCTCTGTGGCCACCAGGCACCCACGTACTACACAAATGCAGGCAAAACAATCACATACATGAAATAGAGATTAAAATGCTCAGCAGTGTCTACAGTACTCCAAACACAAAATCCTAGAAAACAGACATGAAAACTATTTTCCAAAAGAAAACATTTTGATGAATTTCTCTCTGCCCAATACAATGGTTAAAAACGGGCTTGGGCCAGGCCTAGAGATGCATGCCTTTATTTAATCCCACTCTACATCGGGAGTTCCAGGACAACCAGAGCTACACAGCCAGACCCTGTCCTGAAACTCAACCCAAACCAACCACTCAACAAACAAAACCCCATTAATTAATTAATTAATTAATTAGGGTCTTTTGGTTTGGAATGGTGGTGCATGCCATTAAGCCCAGCACCCAGGAAACAGGCAGATTTCAGAGTCCCAGGCCAGCCAGGGCTGAGTGAGGCCCCGCCTTAACACTAGAGGAGAGGGGTTAGTTTGTGCTAGGTGGTGGCAAATGCCTGAAACCCTGGCATTCAGGGCTGAGAAAGACCATGAAGGTGGTCCTTTGCTATGCGGAGTCCCAGGCCAGCCTGGGCTGCAGGGGACATCCTATAGCAAGTGAAGACCAAAAGAAAGCATCCGGCTGGTGAGCCTGGACCGGCTGACGGCAGATGCGGTCTCTGTCCTTTACCAGGTCTCTGCCAGCAGGCGTCGCCTCAGATGCTGGCGGGAGCTCAGCACCTAGTTTCCAGGGCTGTGACAGCGACGCAGGACAGAGCCCTCTAAGGCTGGCATCAAATGCTGGGTGTGCTTCGTATGTAGCTATTGCGCGCTGTCTCATGCATCTTGTGCCTTTCAGTGTTCTACACGCTCTTTAATCTTTGGTGTGGGGTGTGCACGTCTGTGTGTGTGCGCACTTGTGACTTTTGGTCCATGCGCACTGTGCTGCCCTGTTAGAAGTCAGTTCTGGGGAGCCCGAGTGAAACTACTAGCACTGTGGCCCACCCGCTCTGTCAGGAGCTGTGCCAGGCGCACAGCAGAGTGCAAACGGCCCCTGCTTCACAGCGCTCACACCCCATCACACCTCTGGACACACCCCAGGTTCAGAAGAGCAGCAGAGGGGACTGATGGGGTACTCCTGCCAGGGGTGACTTCCACGGAAGCCATACTTGACTGGTTCCAGGACTTGAACTGGAAAGGGCTATTCTCGGCAGAGCAGCAGAGGAACTCGCCGTGGGCGCAGGATTCTTGTTGAGTGTGTGATATGGCTGCACACAGGTGAAGTGACATCAGTTGTTTGAATGTTAAAGGGCCTTGTGAACTGCCCTTTGGTCCCATAACAGAAAAGCAGAGAAAAGCAGAGATGAGCTGCCTTGGAAGCTTGCAGGTCTCAAGGCCAGGCCCAGCCCTTCTTCATGTTTTAGAGGGAGAGGCAGGGTAGGGAGGACAGGGTGGGAGGGATTGGGTGGGATAGGCTGAAACATGGTTTGGAATTCACTATGTGGACCAGGCTGACCTTGAACTCACAGAGCTGCCCCTGCCCCTGCCTCCTGAGTGCTGGGATTACAGGTCAAGTTATTATAATAACTTGAGGGATTTGACGCTCTCCTGCCTCGGGATCGAGGAGCTTGAACTCAGGTCATTAGGCAGCAAATGCCCAGTCACCTGATGGCCCATTCACACCTGCTCTTCACGTGAATTATTAAACCAACCTTGCAGGGCTAGTGTGTGAATTAAGTGAGCAAGCACCCAAAGAGCTGGAATCTGTGCGCTCGGGTGCGTGTGTTCGTGCATGCGTGCGTGCGTGTGTACACATATGTTGAATGTGTACATCTCCGCAATGCTGCTCTTGCAGAGACCTGGATTTGGTTCTTAGCACTCATGATGGATGGCTCACAACCTCCTGCAACTCCAGCTCCTAGGGGACCCGACACTATTTTGGTTCCTACAGACACTCAGAGTGCACACATCACACATGGGTGTGCACATGCACAGAAACATATATGTACATATATGTGTGTGTATGTGTATATGTTAAGCATTACTTAAATGATAAAGGCCAGCAAGATGGCCAGCAGGAAAAAGACTTGCTGTGCAAACCTGGTGAGGTCAAGCCCTGACCCCTGTTAAGTCTACCCCTGCCTCCACTGGAGCACTGTGGCTGTGCGTGTGCTGTGCATGCTGGGAACAAACCACCAACTAAGGGCGTGCACACCCAGCCTTAGGTTCTTAAAGTTTTTGGTTTACACAGAGACAGGGTTTCTCTGTGTAGCCCTGGCTGCCCTAGAACTCACTCTGCAGACCAGGCTGGTCTCGAACTCAGATCTGCCTGTCTCTGCCTACAAAGTAAGTTCCAGGACAGCCAGGGCTGTTACACAAACAGGAAACAAAAATCCCAAAGAAACACACACACAAGTGAAGCAGCAGTGCTCACCTTTGAGAGGCAGAGGCCGCAGGATCCCCAAGAGTTCAAGGCCAGGCTGATCTACCTAGCCAAGGCTGAGTAGAGAGACCAGTCTCAACCAAGCAAACAAGACAAGCCCAGAGAAGTGAAAGCCGTAAACCGAGGAAGCGCCCAGCCCAGAGGATAGCTGAAGGGACGACCAGGCCTCAAGGTCAGAGGCCAGTCAACATTTTTACCAGATTTATTTGCAGTCTGATTATAAAGAAGTGTTAATGGTCTGTCCTGCTCCTGGTGCCTGCTCTACCCATTCCTGTTTTTCCTGTAAGTCCTCTTATTTTCAGTGTGACTTCAAAACATGAGTCATTTACAAAAAATGCACACCAGGCTCTGTAGCAGAAGCGCCCAGGTTAGAGGCTGCCTTGACACTCAGGAAACCCAAGCAGCGCAGGGCAGGGCCACTGGCAAATTACAAAGACAATCTCCAAAGCCTTATGCTTGGAAAAGGAAGGAGTGTTGGGCTTGAGGCGTATGTAGACTTGGAGGTCTCAGGCTAGAGAGAGAGAGAGCAGGTCCCTCAAGGCGGGCTGTCTGTCTCCAAATACAGAATGGGTATTTTTTTTTTTTTTCATTAGGGAGCAGCAGGAATCAGGAGGATGTGCGGAAGTGAGAGAAGAGAAGCTGAGCTGGGCGTGGTGCCACACAGGACACTAATTCCAGCAATGGGAGGAGGACTTTGAGTGGTTTGAGGCCAGTGTGGCTACATAATGAGACCTTGTCTCCAGACCAGGAAGAGGAGAAAGGAGGTGGCCCAGGACGCACAAACACAAAAGGAGCGGATGGATGGCAGCCAGAGGCGCTTACAGGACTAGCCACTGAGATCTCCCTGACAGGGCTCTAAGAGGCTGGCTAGAGGCAGAAGGCTACTGGGTGGACAGGCCAGGTAGGGTCAAGTTAGGAGGCCTGCAACCCTGGAGACAGCAAACACTGAGTCAGGACAAAAACCGTACGCGGAAGCTGCTACAGACTTCTTAGATGGCATTCCAGGCTGTGGACAGAAATTAAAAGGTGAAGCCGGGGGTGGTAAGGCCCGATTAGAATCCAGGCTGGGGCAGGCGGATTGCTATGAGCTCAAGGCCAGCTGAGGCTCTGTCTCAACGCCTAGGAATAGTAATACAATAGCCAGGAGCAGTGTTGCTTGCCTTTAACCCCGGAACTGAGGAGGCAGCAGAGCCACACAGCCAGACCCTTCCTCAATAAATAAACAAATAAAAAGTTAAAAGTTAATTCAGTAAGTACTGAGTGTGTTCTCCGTGCTAGGTGCTGGTCACAGACCAGTGAACAGTGAACAAGACAGGCAGGTTACCTAAACTCCACTACAGGGCCAGCGAGTCGCCGCCTCGGTGGAGCTTGCTCTGCACGGCATGCAAAACAAGGTAGGAGAACCGACTCCACAAAGTTGTCCTCTGACCTTCACAGGTGTGACACACACACACACACACACACACACACACACACACCACACACAATTAAAAATTTCAAAAGTGAAAACAACACAAATCTACTGCCATCCCAGTAAGTGCTCAGAAGCCTGAGGCAGGGGCCCTCAAAACCAGCCTGGGCTACAGAGTAAACCTGTTCTGAAAAACAAAGACAAGTCAGATCACAACAAAAACCCCAGACCCCCACCTTCACAGCTGTCCTAAAATTTAAGCAGAGCTCAGGCATGCAGGCTTGTTTCTGAGTGTCTACCCAGGAAACGAGGGGCTGCGGTCAGCGGACGCTTGCAGCACAGCTGCTTCCGAGTTGGGAGGAAGCAGCCTCAGTGCCCATCAGCAGGCAATGTGTAAACAAAATGCAGACCTGGAGTTTCGGGAGGTGCTGGAGGGACGGCTCAGGGCTTGGGAGCAGAGAACCAGGGTCTAGTTCCCAGCACAGCACGGTGGCTCACAGCCACCTGTACCTCCAGCTCTGGCTTCTGAAGGCACACATACACGTAAAACAAAAACAAAAGAGGGGAGGAAGGAAATAATGACCCAGGAGCCAGGCACACAGGACAAAATGTCGTAGGCGAGGCAAGGCACATATTTTAATCCCAGCCTCAGGAGGCAGAGGAAGCTCAGAGATTGAGGCCAGCCTGGTCTACACAGAGTCCAGGGCAGCCAGGGCTGTACACTGAGTCCCTACCTGTTTTAAAAAACAAAATAGCCTATGCCTGCATTGATATGGACTATTGGTGACACAAAGTAATCAAATGCAAGCTGTAGAGAGACAGAACATTTAACAGGTAGAGATTCCGTTTGGGATGCTGAAAAGTGGTGGTGGCAAGTGTCCTTAAGTGACACAGATTGTGCAGCTGGGAGGGGGCTGAGGACAGACAGCTTGCCCAGTGTATGCACGACTGTGCGCAGTTTCCACACACACAGAGTAATTTATTTTTCAGGAAACAGGGTCTCTCTGCATAACCCTGGCCGTCCTGGACTTACTCTGTAGACCAGGCTGTCCTTGAACTCACAGAGCTCCGCCCCCTCAGTTTTTCCCTGAGAGCTGGCAACACAGGCGTGGGCCACCCTGCCCAGCTCTCACACAGTCCATTTTATTAGGATTTAATCACAGTTTAAAAATCCTCTGCTGGAGTGAGTTTAAAGCCAAGTCTCTGATCGAAAAGCCAGATTGAATGTCAGCTGAGAGAGGTGTTTGAGCTGGAACAGCTGAGTTGAACCAGCCAGCCAGAGCTCAGAAAGGACAAGAAAGGGTGAGCTTATTCAGCAGTAAGTTTCAGAGGCTGAAAACTTCTAGGCCTAGGTTAGAAAGAAAGAAAAAAATTCCCTCAGTGCAGCTAAGCAGAGCAGGCACAGGGTCTGTGCCAAGCTGGTTAGACTGTACTAGCTTCCAGGACTAGGCCTAGGTCAGCAGACTGAGGCTGTAAGCCTCAGAGACGACAGGTTGAATAAAAGTTCACTTTACAGGTGGATGCCTTCAGCAGTTCTTTTCTGAGAACTCTGATTTGCTCAAGATCTCCCCTGAGAGTGAGGAAGGGGCTTAAAGAGATCCAGGGGTCCACATGAGGTTATCCACGGTGGTGTGGCCTTAGGCACCCTGCTGACCTCAGCTGCTTTTGAATGTGCATTGCAAACTGTGGGCTCCTGAGTGCTGGTATTACACGCATGCTCCACCACAACTGGCTGCTTATGACTTCCAAGATGAAAACAGATAACAAGAACAAAGCAATCTAGGTCCAGGAAGCCTGGCACCAGAAGGGGGTACCTGAGCTGCGGGTGCATCCCTGCTTGTGTGGGTTTGCATGAGGAAGGGCCCAAACTCTGATCCCCTGCCACCCTCCCCTTCTCAGCTTCCAAAGACCAGCTGTGCTTCAGGCTTGCCAGGGGCCAGGGGAGAGGGCCTCAAGCTTGAAGGCTCCACCCAGATCCTAACCACTGTGGTTAGGATCAGCTCCCACACCTTTCTTTTTGCTGACCCAGATACCAGCTGATTTCTTTGTGCTTCTTGTCTCCAGGGTAAGGCCAGGGCTCTTATCAGATCCACTGCCACCTGAAGCTGCCAACCTGCTTACTTGCTGTAGACCTGTAGACAGCGGCCACTCCCACAATCCTCCTTTCCTTGGGAAGGCCCTCTGGAACTCTGTCATGTGCTCTGACAGCCCGCTGCATGAAGGAGACCGGGGAAGCAGCAGACCATGACGGAAGGAAAGCAACTTGGGAGTAAGGAGGGCTTGGCACAGGCCATGCACCTGCTCTGCTTAGCTGCACTGAGGGAATTTTTTTCTCTCTTTCTTTTAAACTGGAAAGTTTCCTTAATCACTGAAAATTCTTAACTTCCTCAAACTCAGGTTTTGCTTTGCTAAAATAAGAATAAAACTGGCTCAGTGTGGTGAGAAATAAGTTCAGCAAAAAGTGCAGAGTGGCTGGCACATGTGGGCAGCAGCTGTGAAGAGCCGCTGAGACCAGTGGGTGGCGAGGGGAGGGCTTTACCTGGGGGGTGACCAGGGCCCCCACAGAGGCTTCTACTCTGTCTTAACTGGCATGCAGGGCCAGCACCTAGGTCCACAGTAACCTCAGGGGCCTATGAAAACGTCTTTTAATAGTAATTTTATTTTAACGACTTAAATTTCTTTTAAAATTAAGATAACGAGCTTTTAAATCAAACAATATTAAGGTTGCCATATCAGCTGATTAATTCTCTACTGCAATATCTTTATAAGTACTCATTGTTATAGACACCTTTTTTATTTTTCATCCTTCATCAGTTTTTTGTTTGTTTGTTGAGACAGGGTTTCTCTGTGTAGCCCTGGATGCCCTGGACTTGCTTTGTAGACCAGGCTGGCGGCAACTCGTAGAGATTAGCCTGCCTCTGCCTCCTGAGAGCTGGTTTTAAGGTTGCCCTGCTTATAAGCATTATTACATTAATGCTTTATATACTACCTTATCCCAGTCAGGTTGAAAACACACATCTTTAAATTGTTTCTTTTTTCTGTCTTTAAGCAGAGGGAAGAGCCCAAGACAAAGTGTAAGAGCCTAATGGTCACTGTGGTCCAGCACTCCTGAGGGTCCTTAGGTAATCCTGACGGAACACTGAGCAGGGCGGAGAAGCACAGGCTGGGCCATGCACCCTCCTGCAGAGAGCCCCACTGATCACTAGTCTCCTCTTGTGTGAGGACGTGTGTCTGCTCAGCCCAGCGGGCTGGACACTGTAGCTGTCCTAAAATTCCCCCCCCCCCCCATCACAGCTGAACCAGAAATGCACAACTCAGCAACTTAACAACGCAATCAAAAAGATGGGCAAGGAGCCGTGGACAGGGCGCAGCAGGCGACGGCACCCACCGATAGCCTGTCGACCTCAGGTGGCTTCCGGAACCCACACGGTGGGAGGAGAGAACTGACTCCAGAAAGCTGTCCTCTGACCCCCACACGTGTTACAGCGTGCTCGAGTGTGAGTTGTGGGGGGTGGGGGACATACATGTGCACGCAGAGGCCCAGGTGACCAACAAACACGTGAAAATGTGCTTTGGCATCACTAGCCATTAGGGAGACAAAGTCACAACGAGATACCGTCTCACAGCCACTAAGACCAGAGAGGATGTGGAGAAGCCAGAACCTTTGTGGGTTGTTGGTGGAGAGTTAATATCACAGCCACCATGAAAGAGTGCATAGCGGTTCTTTAATATATATAATATATGATATGTATAATTTGCTGTATGTATACATAATTGACACATAAGAACAGTTCCAGTTCTGGATGTATACCCAACAGGGTTACAGGAAAACAGCAAACAGATATTGACTAAACAAGTTCGCACATATGATGGACTATGACTTAGACTTAAGACGAGGGGCAGGCTACAGCATGGATGACCCTTGAAGCATTGTACTAAGTGAAACAATCAGACAGAAAAGGGCAGAGGCTGAGCCACCTCGCCTCGCCTCATGAAGAGAATTTGCTCCCACCAGTCCTGATGTCTGTCCCTGTCCTCACCAGAGAACTAGAAATCTCCCAAAAGCACCTCACTAGCCCCTGGAGGAACTGCCTGGGATTTGCCTCCCCTGGGTTCTCAGCGACCCCACCCCCCACCCCATCTCCTTCTCAACAAAAATTATCACCCAAAGTGATCGTTCATGCTCATGAACAAAAATGAGACACTGTATCAGAAGACAAAGGAATATAGATCAAGGGGCTGTTCCGCCCACACCCGGCTAGCACACCAGAGAAACCAGTCAGTACGTAAATGTCTGTCAGGGTGCCAGGCCCACCCTGAGCCAAAGGGCAGGCCAGCTCAATTCGGCACCCAAGATTCCCGCCCAGCACACCTCCAGGGAGGACAGAGGTGAATTACAAGGTAGGGTGTCTTTCTGGGGCTCCGGCCACTACCTGGCTCCTAGCACTTTCAAACACACTCCGCACACCTCTTCGTGAAGGATCTTGCCTAGCCCAGGCTGCACTTGAACTTCTGGCCCTCCTGCCTGTACCTCAGGGAGAAGGGACCGCAGGCTCAGGCCATCAAGATGGGTTTCAAGTGGCAACATTCACTCCACACTGGGGACGGAGCCCACATCCCAAACCCTGCCTTTCCCACCTTTCTGTGCTCGGCTGAATGTAAAAATAGCTCCTTTGGGCCGCAAAGAACTTGAGAAGCCCAGGTCAGGTCCAGGCTTGAGGGTAAAAGGACACTTAACGGGGTACAGCCCAGCTGGACCCCGCTTCCTCCCGGGGCCTTTCCCCGTGTGGGGGAGCGGGGTCTTCCCGGGCACACCGACTTCCAAGGCTGGCTCAGGGGTGTGGGGTGTGGAACAGCTCTCCTAGTCCCTGGGTCCCGCGCCTACCTGCAGGAGAGGGCGTAGCCGGCATGCTGGCCATGCTGCTGGGGCCGGAGTCTCTAGGGTCGGGTCTGCGGGAAGGACAGAGAGGGACGCGGCCGCTGAGCTCCCGGGAGAGCCTTTGGCGCCAGGTTTCCCGGAGTCCCTCCCCCTGGAAGTGTCCCCGCTCTTCCGCTTGCTTCTCCGGAGGCTCTAAGCAGCGCCCAGGAGCGGCTCCCTCCGCGAGAGCGGGACGGGCGTGCCAGGGATGCGGCCCGCGGGCCCCCTCTCCCCGGGGCTGGGGGAGCGAGGCAGCGGGGGGCAGCCGGGCGGCCCGGCTGCGGATGGCGCGAGGGGGCCCGCGGGCACCCGCGAGCCCCGGCCGTCG